ACTGATCGCACGACAGCAGCATCAGGCAGAGAGTCGTATATCTGTCTCATGCACACTTTCCCTGTCAGGAGCTCTTGGACACGGCTCCATATGATGACCATGTAACTGCAACTCTCCATGAATAACCTTCCATTATCTCCACTGAGAGAGCGTAAAGCTAATGGGCAGCTCTCAAAGAAATTCAAAAATCAAATCAAATCTGGCCTGGCTCCACCCGCCCAGGCTCACCTATCCTGAGCTACGAGGAGTAGAAAGGACTTCCTTGTTTGAGCAACAACGCCTGCCTGAGCCCTAGCATCTCCTATTAGTTCTGACTCCTGGCTTGTTCTCCAGTCCCGTTTCAGGTTTGCTCCCTTTGCTCCTAGATTCAATTCCTTGTCCAACCCTGCCACTCACCTTTCCTACTTTGTTTTCTGAACTGGTGCTTCTAGAAGAACTTATGTAATAAAGAAAGGGTGCCCCTCCAACCCATCTGAAGCTCCCCCTTTCCCGTTGACTTTGCTGTGTAGGTGGCAAAACCTACAGCAATACTGCAAGGGGACAAGCAGAGCACACACTTTGCTGACAAGCAGAATTTTGTTCTCTGCATGTCCTGTTTTGACATGCAGTTGACAGGAGTGGAACAGGAGGGGCCAGAACACGAGGGAGATTGGCATTGTTCTTCTAAAGTAATTCATTATGTATTTATTTTTTTATTTATTTGGAGTTGTGGGTTTTGTTCCATCAGAACTCCTCTCGGAATACTGTGCTGGTCATTGGTCCCACTTTCAGGAAATTCACTGCCTATTCAGGATCCTACAGGACCAAGGAATTTCCAGCATCATTACAATCATATCCATCAGCATTATGCTGTTACTACTGTGATGCCTTTATGTCTTTTAATTGTTAAATCGGTTGATTTATTTAGTGGTTTTAAATTATGGCCAAGAAACTCCAAATTTTTAATGTTATTCCATGCTTTATTTATTTTCTTTGTAAGCCGCCCCGAGGCTTCTGCCATGGGTGCGGCATAGAAATGTTATAAATAAATAAATAAATAAATAAAGTCAAATCTATACACTCCTTTACGTGTGCATAAAAGTATCAATGAGGGCTCCATGATGACTGATGGTCGACTGCAAAGAACAGTACAAATGCCATAATGGGGCATAAATGGGGTTGCACTCCTTCCGAGGGTCAGGGTTCGCAGCTTAGGAGTGCTCCTCGACCCTGAGCTGTCTCTAGAAGCTCAGGTGACAGCAGTGGCGAGAAGCGCCTTCCTTCAGCTTCGGCTGATCCATCAGCTGCATCCCTTCCTGGAGAACGACTGCCTGGCGACAGTGACACACGCGTTGGTAACTTCCCGATTAGATTTCTGTAACGCGCTCTACATGGGGCTACCCTTGAAGACGGTCCGGATAATTCAGTTGGTGCAGAATAGAGCTGCCAGGCTGCTGACGGGGACTGGGCGTTGTTCTCATATAACCCCAGTTCTCCGTCAGCTCCACTGGCTCCCGATTGAAGTCCGGGCCCAATTCAAGGTGTTGGTTATGACCTATAAAGCCCTCAACGTCTTGGGACCTGGATATCTAAAGGAACGCTTGCGTCCATATATGCCCTCCCGCCCCTTGAGATCAGCAACAGATGCCCTTCTCTGGGAACCCTCTGTGAATGATATCAGGAGGGTGAGTACCCGGAGGAGGGCTTTCTCTGCGGTGGCGCCCCATCTATGGAATGTGCTCCCCAGAGAGGTCCGCCTGGCGCCGTCGTTATTTGTTTTTTGGAGCCAGGCTAAGACCTTTTTATTTAAAACTTATTTTAATTGTTAATTTATTGGTATTTATAGGATTTTAAATCTTTTAAGCCAAGATGCACCAGGTTTTAATATTTTTGTTGTATAATTGTTATATTTGTATATTTTGTTTTAGTTGTGAGCCGCCCGAGGCTTTGTTGCGATGGGGGCAGCATAAAAATGTTTTAAATAAATAAATAATGCAATATGCCCCAACAAGTACACAAAATATTCTGAGTTCATGTGCAAATTTAAAAATTGTTGAGTAAATGTGTTACATGGTTCAGGACCAGTGGGTGTTAGACTAGATGTTTTAAGAAGGACTGAAGTAGCATTAAAGTCTGAAGCCAAGAAAATCCTCTTAGACAGTTAATCTTTGAGCAGTAAACAACAAACTTCAACAAACTGGCCTGCTGCAAATGGAACAATGTTGTGTTTTTTGGTCAATTTTTGCACTGCAATGATGGGCAATTAAATACAAGGTGGCTGAATATGCCAGACAACGTTTTCTTTCTTTTTCATGTTACTTTTTCTTGGTTTTTTCCCTCTTCTATTTATAAAAGTAAAAATAATATTTTATTTAAAAAGACAGACAACTATAAATAAAAGTTTTCTTTCAGTTCTATATATAAAAAGAAGCATTCAGTTTTGCACAGTTTTTGTGAAGAATATGCATTGCCTTATTTGCAGCTTGGACATTTCAGGATCGGGAGAGAAATGTGAAATCCTCCATTACCTGTTGAGCTGCTTCAACTGAATATGCATATTTAAAATCTGTCTTACCATGAAAACCACCCCAAGAGATCATTGTACCTCTTAACATCCCACAGAAAATATCTGTTCTTTGCTTCTCAAAGTAATGTAAATGACCATCCTATTACCACTGCACGATTTTCCAGTCTCCCGTCGCTCACTCCTATTTTTCCCTATTACTTTCCATTAGCTTGTCTCTTCCAGCCTCTTGGAAGCAGCAAGCTGACCTAGAGCTTTCTGCCCAAACTACAGGCCGGTTCACACCATCATGGGAAGAACTAAAGATTGCTTATTTCCCCTTTTGCTCATGCCAGCACATGCCAGCTGCACACCCAGATTAGCATAATTAGCCCCACAGCAGCCCATGTAAATGGATTCTCTGTCTCCTTTTGACAAGTAAAAGGCTAATATTATAACACTTAGAAAGGCAAACAGTCACCTAATGGGCTGAGAACTTAATGGTGCTTCCAGTTTTTGAATAGATTATCTTTAGGCATAATCTACAAGTGAACACATATATGGATATTCTGTTGAACTCTGCTGACGTTGATGCATAACTTTGTGCAATAACAGTAGCATATCTTTCATCATCTTCTTCCCTTTCATTTCATTTCATTTTTATACTGTCCAATAGCCAAAGCTCTTTCATTTCTATACTAAATATACATATCAAAACTGATAATCTGACGTACCACAAAAACTGTCCCAAGAGTTCATTGCACCTCTTAACATCCCACAGATAATGTTGTTTTTTGCTTCTCAAAGCAATGGGTTATGGGTGGCTTGTTTACCACAGTAACAAGCCACTCTTGCTATGTTCACAGGACACAAACTGGCAAGAGTAATTATACAAATCCAACAGGCATGTACACATAGGAATGTGGGTGGCAGGGAGCCACTATGGCTTAATTCTCCTTCTGTGATCATGCAAGCTGCAACTGCATTGTAGATCCCTCCATTTCCTGAAATTTGGGGGGAAATAACCTAGTAAGGCCGTGCATAGGGATTCTGTCTCAAAATACATTTGGAAATATTTATTAGGACAGATAATTCAGCTGTTTTGCAGTGCTCTATCAATCATAGTTTGGTCTACAAAACTGTACTATTTAAGAATGCAGAAATTAAGTGGTAGACCACATGCCTGGCATGAGGAGAGTCCCAGGTTCTATAGCAAAATCTCATATCAAAGGCACAGACAGCTGAGCTGAGAAAGAATTCTACCTGAGCTCTAAGGATGCCCTCACCACTGTTGGGCTAGATCAGGGATGGGAAACATAATGTTGTGGGATGCAACCCAGCATCTCTTACCAATGGCTATGCTACTTAGAGCTGATGGGTGCTGCAGTCCAAAAGCATCTGAAAATCTACGTGTACCCCAACTTTGGGTTCCACACAATGTGTAACAGAACATTGCAATGGCATTGTACATCCAGCATTTTTCAAATTTCTTTGACACTTCATCATAACCATTTTTCACCCAGGAAAATCTTACAGCAGCATCTCTAAATGAAACATGTCTGGGGAAATATAGTTCGGTAAAATCTTGCAGCAAACTTTTTGTGAGTAAGGCACAAAATTTCATTATTCATTCAGTGGCCTTGTTCAGTCATGTGTCAGTGTACTGAACCAAGGGATGTACAAGCCTGTTTCCCATGCATGCCACTCCTCTCCTACTTTTGTAGCATGCTGCAAATAGAACATGAAATCTCTTGACAGTGACTACCTGCTGTCAAGCCAGTTAGCTGCCATCCTGTATCTGTGCACTTGATTATATTCACGCATGCATGCATAAATGCAGAATTTTCCTGTTGTCCTTGCTGAATTTCCTTTTTCTTAGAATGGAAAATTGGGCTGATCATTATAACTTAGAAACAGAGAAACAGAGCGAGTCAGAAGGGGCCTCCTGGGCCATCCAGTCTGACCTCCGGCACCAGCCAGCTACACTCACGACATGCCCACCATGTGGACGTCCAGCCTATCCTTGAACACCCGCACCGATGGGGCCTCAACGACCTCTCATGGAAGCCCATTCCACACCCTCGGGGTCCTGACTGTCAGGAAGTGCTTCCTGGCATCCAAATGGAACCTTGGCTCCCTGAGCTTTGCTCCGTTGGAGCGCGTCCCGCCTTCCACTGCAGGGGAGAACAGGTCTCTACCCATCTCCGTGTGACATCCCCTCACATACCTGTAACTTCTTCCATAGTTGCTCCTGCATTGGTTCATGTCCATCTAAAGGTCACTTGGTTCTGTGGATAATGCATGTAACGACTACACAAGAGAGCAATGTAAAACCCAATAGGCTAGGCAATATGCTATGCCACATATTGTGACTGAGGAACCATGTGCCCAAAAGTCTGCAAAAGTGATGGCAACCAAGCAGGTCAGGTTATTATAAGGAGACTTTAGAATCAGTAGCTATGAGCAATGCAGAAATCATTAGCAGACCAAGATCAAAACATCTGAGAAGTGCTATTACCTGTTGATAAAATTCATCAAAGGTGATAATGGGTCCATTGTGGATAACAGGATAATAGAAGGTATACGCCAACATCCAAAGGAATGAGTGATGTATCGTCTCAGCAGGCTTCCGCCAGCAGTGTTCTAAACTGAAGCTTGTATAGTAGAGGCAGCGGACAGTCAGGGTGAAAAGAAGCAAGTAATACTCACTTTCACTGGCATACCAGCTCCTCTGTAAAATAAAACCAGTAGAAAATGATGTGAAATTTCACCTATACAGGAATGAAGAGAAGATGTAAATATGTTTTTAACTTTTGTTAAATTTGTGTGTGTGTTAAACTTTTGTTAACCACCCAAAGAACCTTGGCTATTGGGCAGTATAAAAATAAAACAGATACATGAAAAGAACATTTATTGCATAGGATTTACTATCATAGCACACTACTATAAGCTAATGATTCTTCACATACTTGTGAAAAAAATTAATAGTCTGCATAAAATAAACACTTTATTAGCTCAGATAGATAATAGCCAACCTTTTCTGGACAGGGTTATACACCCCCTAAAGGACAGAGTACAGAGTTTAGGGGTGTTTCCAGATCCTGAGCTGTCCCTGGAGCACCAGGTGAGCTTCATGGTCAGGAGCACCTTTTATCAACTTCAGTTGATTTTTCAGCTCCATCCCTATCTGGCAGGCCGAACCTGGTAACAGTGATCCACACCCTGCTAACTTCTCGTTTGGACTACTGCAATGCACTTTACGTGGGGCTGCCCTTCAAAATGATCCAGAAACTTCAATCGATTCAAAATAGAGCAACTCACCTCTTAACAAGAACTGCAAGGCATAAGCGTATAACTTCAGTGTTACACCATCTAAACTGGTTGCCAATTGAAATTTGGGCCTGCTGTAAGATAGTTTGCTTTGACATATAATGCCCTAAATGGTTTAGGACCTGGATATCTGATGGAACACCTCCTCCCATAGAAACCTGCCCAGATCTTAAGATCATCGTCAGAGGTCCTTCTCCACGAGACAGTGCTAAGGGGTATAAGAAAGGTGGCCACTAGGAGACAGGCCTTTTCAGCTGTGGTGCCCCAGCTGAGGAACCAGCTGATCAGAAAGGGTGCCTGGCGCCAACCCTTTACACTTTGAAGTGCCAGGCTACAACCTTCTTATTCCCCCAATATTTTAGCTGTTAAGATGTTTAATGTTATATTTTATTATAGCACAATGGATTATTTGATTATTCAATGTTTATTTATTGATATTTATTGTCTTTATATTTTATTTTTATTATCATTGTTGAATATTTTATCAATTATTATTACTTGTTTTGTTTATTGTTGATATGTTGATTTCTTGTTATATTTTAATCTTATAACCCATCCAGAGGATTGTTAAGCTAATAGGAATGGTATAAAATGTTTTAAATAAATAAATATGCCAAAAATGTGCTTCTGTAATGTATCAAAAGGCACATTTATAGCCTAGTTCTTTACTCAAAATGTAAGTCCTTATTCATGTCCTTATTAGCTTCATCATACTAATACAGGTCAGCATGTCCACAGACTGCAAAACTTCACAAGACAAAAATAACCCAAAAGATCTTTATATCTACAGTATTTTCCGGCATGTTATCATATTGTAAAAGATGCAACTTGACCCCAAAAGTAATGAACACAGTATTTTTAAAGATGTTTTTCAGTAGAGAAATGTTCCTCCTGTGAGGGCAATGACTAAGACAGTGAGGTGAGGTGCTCAGGATTAGAACTGGGGAGATTCAGATGCAAATATCACAAAGCCCTGAAGTTCACTGGGTGACGATGAGCCACACATTGTGAAAAGAAAAAAAAGGGGTTAGGTATTCTGCCTTGAGGAATACAAATATAACAAAATAAAAGATAAACTGGAATGTATCTGTGGATCCAAAGCAATGAAAAGTTTAATGGATGCATCCTTAAGATACACTATGTAGCTTGGCTCACCCTCCTGTGACCTTTCCTGGAAAAAATGGCCATAGTCATGTGTGAGAACATCTTGGTTAAAGCACTACAATGAATATTAAGTGGGGCTGCTTTTGAAGATTGGTCAGAAACTAGTACTATAAATAATAGGCAAAACATCTTGCCAGTGCTTGGAACTATACTGGCTACCAAGTTCTTTCTGAAACATAAAGTGCTGGGTTTGACTACAAACCTCAAATGCTTGGAGCTGGGCTTCCAGTAGGTTCCCACTGACTCTTAAAATCGTCCACTGCTTGGAGTTGCCCCACCTTCTATGGAGTGGTCAGCAACAAGAGAGAGCGCCTACCAATCTGGCACTTCCTCTATGATGTTATCCCACTTTTCATAAGACAACTGAGAACATGCCTTTTTTCTTTTAATTTTAATAGATCCGGTGCTTGCTGCTGTTCCAACTGAATCTATTGACTGCTTTTATCAGTTCAGATTTTGCTTTTGTTTGTATTGTTGGTTTGTGTCCTTTGTCTGTTAGCTGCCTCAGGAGAGCTTCTGACTGAGAGGTAGACTACAAATATTTTAAAGAAATAAATAGCTTTCTGATACAATGCATGCAAGTTCAATACCAGATGCTCCAATAGTTGCATAAATATCAATCAACTTACCTAAAAACAATAACTAATTAAAATATAGATTACGAAGGTTAATTTTAGACAGGTAAAGTCTAAGGTATGGGGTCCCAATCTGGTTCTGCTCCTGCTCCATGCAGATGCTCTGGAACTGTTTTCCAAGAGAGGTTCCTTCAGCATTTTCCTTGCCATCTTTTCAAGGACTACCGATGCTCATTCTTTTTCAGAGAGGGTTTGATTTCTTGTTAGCATCTGCTCTGTTTGATTTTATAGGCCAAAAATCTGTCTGATTTTTTATTTCAGCCTGCTTGGAAAGAGGCAAAGCCAGAACCTCTAAATCCTGAAGAAACTGTGGGCAGCTTCCTTTGTGCCTAGAGACTTCATTCTAGAGTGTCCTGGCACATCTTCTGGAAATTTCTGTGTAGATGAATGTACACATGCATTCAATTTCCAGTAAGACTGGATTTATTTTTTATGTTTTAACTGTTTCCCAACCGTTCTTACAAGTGGAAATCCACAACAGAGATATCTTCCAAACCAAAATGCAAAAGGCTATTTCAGCAATGCTTTAGAAAAATCAAGTAGAACAATAATATCAAGAAAACAATTTATTTATTTATTTAAAACATTATTACCTTTATTTCTTCCAAGGCAGACAGTTGCAGAGTTGACAGAAGAAGCAATGAGTTCAGCCATGTCAGAACTGGATTCTTAAACTGAGCAACTAAGTATGAGATTGCAACGTGTAGAAAAATCATGGCGAGACCATTGGTACCCAGCAGAAAACCACAGGCTGCCATGCCATAGGCCATCAGAAACCAGGGTTTGTACTGAAAGGTCAGGAAAAAGGATACTTGATTAAATGTCTCTCTGCTCAATTGACATTTTATCTCTTGCACTTTACCTCCATCTCTCAATAGTGCTCAGGACACCTTCACAACAACTCCATGAGGAGATTTTGGGAGCAGCTGATCAAGTAGCTTCATGGCTGGGCAGGAATTTGAATCCAGATCTCCTAAACCTAAACCTAGTATCTCATTCACTTCGGGCCACCTCAGTACAGTTTGTTATGCAACACAAGGTTTATATAGACAAATTGTTGTTGTATGCTAGATACTGGTTTACATTATATCACGACTTTACAGATCATAACACAATTTAGAGTATATCTGTTCAGACTCAAAGCAGGAAATGGCCTACATGAAAAGCAGAAACTGAGCCAAGCTAAAGAATAATCATTTCATTGAGCTGTCAAAGCATTAAGCATTTAAGTCAATGTTTCCTAGAACAAACATTTTCACTCTATCATGTCCACCAACACTTTCACGCACAAAGATAGGGGATGCTGACCTGGCATTAGCTGTCGTGTTCTCTGCTGGCCAGCTGGCTCAGAGGAACCACCACCATTCCTGTCACCGAGGGCGCCAGGTGGGCCATGAGGCAGGCAGGCAGGCGGGCTGGTCGCAGAGCTTAGCTCTTGGATGAGTGGGCTGAGCAGGAAGCTCACCGCACCACCACTGCAAGGCAACTGAAAGGCAGGGCCGCCAGTTCTTGTCTCCCCTTTACCACCTGTCCTGCTCTCCTTCCCAGCCTGGAATTCATGGGCAAGTAAGAGAACTACCACCCAACAGTGAGCTGGCCAGAATCCTCCAAGCTGCTCTAGCAGAGAAGGTCAGAGCCAGGCAGAACAGCCATTGCTTGTTTGCTTGTTTGACATTCAGACTAAAGCAGTGCAGTCAGAGTGTCTTCTGAGGTGAAGGGCAGCAGTGCCAAAAAGTGGCAGTAAACTGCCAACACCTCCCTTCTTCCACCTCAATTCCTGGGGTACGCAACCAGGTATCCACTACTTCGCAGTGGTTTTATAAAATATAGTATTCCCATGGTTTAACAGATAAGAAGCTCAATCAATTCATTCATTCATAAATGTTCCTGAGTTCGTCATTTCTTCCTAAGCTTCTCTCTCCAGTCAAACATGTGCAGGCCAGATGTGTGAGTAGGGTGTGGAACCATGATAAAGCAGGGCCTGTGAAAGAGCTGGGCAGATGACACTGTTCCCGATCTATGTGAACACCTGAGCAGGGCTTCTCTCTCTTTCTGTCTCTCTCTCTCTCATCACCACCAGTTGTCTTTCCTCATTCCAATTCTACTTCTTCCTGAGCTTAGATCCAAGCAACGTAATGGTCTATGGATTGTACCACTTCAGAGAGCACTAATTATTAGTTGACAAAATTGTTCTCTAGTTGAGTAAGTGAAGGATTACACATTTGATACTTCAATAAATATAACGAATAAACCATTTTTAAAATTCCTTAAATGTAGAAAGTTTACATCTCTGTAAAAAAACTGGAGCAGAAGTACAGTCTGCAGAAGTACAGTCCAGCAAGAACTGCAGTACAAGTGCAGGTAGTTCTGAAATGGTGTAGAGCTCATGGTGCAGAGTGGTTCTGAAATGGTTTGTGTAACCACAAACTTGCATCCTATGCTTTAATAGGAAAGCACTGAAAACACAAAAGCCAGATACAACAACAACATGTTCCAATTTGCTACAGATTTGTTTTTAAATCTGTAACTAACCAAAGGAATACACAATCTTAATTGTTAGGAAGACATAATAGTGGTACAAATATTCCTCTGCTGTTCAAATGGACAGTCAAGGGATTTCACAAAATGCTCCAGATAAGAGCAGTATTTTCAGATGGTGCTGAATGTGCAGTTCTTTGAAGTAAATTAATCAATTGGCCTGTTGAGGTGTCTGTTGGTCTCTTAGCCCTTCTTTGAAGCTAGGAAGGAACTACTCCAGTGATTCCAACTGTGAAAAATAAACTTCTGCTGATGATTCTTTAAAGGAATTTAACATACTGTATAAGCAAAAAATGTGCATAAATATATCACTGTCCTATGCGAGTTTCAAGGGAGAAAATTCCTTTGACCTTCACAACGAACCACTTTTGTAAATGCAAAGCTGAAAAAGCTCTTGGAAGTGTGCAAATTAGTGCTCCACTGGGCCTTGTGAACTCCTCTCTTCCTTGAGCCTTCAACTGATCTAATAATGAATAAATTCCCTTTGTTTCCCTGGTTTAATGCCCTGCTTCAGTGGCTTTTCCCCTCTCGTTTTAAAAATCTTATAGCATATTGCACAGTGCAGCCACTGTACAGCACGGAAATCATTGCAAATGAACAGCAAAGGGTTCCAGGGCTGCTCCCCATGTTGCTCAGATGATAATCAAGTGCTCCAAAACTGAGTGGGTATGGCATGGAATGCCGCGGACAGGCAGCACATCCAAGCCACAGTGGTGGTGCATAAATGGCACTGGAGCGAGATGGGCAAAAAGCAAGTGCTGCACTCCAGGTGGTGAGGAATACCAGGGCAAGTGGTAACTTATGAAGAGGCCTATTGAAAGCACTGGCCTCTGCAGTGCCTTAGTCCTCCCTCAGCCTAGGCAGAACCTGTGTGATTTCTATCTAAGGGTGTAAAGAGACACTAAATTAACTATGAGGCGTCTTATCAATAAGGAAGCTTTTGAAAGGAAGCAAATTTTACTTTCAGTGGTTCTCCCAAATATTCTTCCTATTCTAATATGGGAGGACGAATCGGGGATTGCAATTAGATATCATATGTTCTACACAGATGTCTCTGTATATGTATAATCCAGACACATATATGCACGCATGCACACATATAATATATGTATATTCTGTGTGTGAGAGAGATAGCTGCATTTTTCACATAAGTATAAATAATATTCTGGGAATATTTATACAAACCTATTATATAAGGATAGGTGGAACCATCTATTTCTGGCCCTTATCAGGTTGGTTTATGTTCTTTTTTTTTGTCCATTTCAACCCACTTATGCCTTAGTCTACTAATTAGGAGACTGCATGAAAAGGTCTCTTTATACACATATTTAAATATGTATTTTAATGTATTTTCTCAGGATATCCACTAAACCCTTTTTAATTCTAGTTAAGTGACATTGCACTAGCAGGAACTAGGTTCCAAACTATGTGTGCCAGAGGAGAATCCAACTAAAGTTACGCTTGCACAAGTACATTTGTACTAGAAGTTATGCAGCTAGTTGCACTTTATGCTTGCACAACCACTTGAATTGGTGGAGCTCCATTGGTTTGGTGGAGCTCCATTAGCATTGTTTGGGTTTCCAGAATGACACCATTGGATACTCTCCCAAGTATCCACACAGAATAAAATCGCTTTTGATACACATTTTTATTGTTGTTGTTGTCTTCAGCTGAGATCTGCACCACAAAATTTAGAGAAGTACAAAATCCAAAACAATCTGCAAATTTGTTCAGGAAATGCAGATCAGGTTGGCTCACTTTGAAACGTAGACCGAAAAAAGTCCTTGAGCACCCCTGCTGTCAACTATGAGAACTGGTAAGGGAAAAGCAAGAACAGTTTCCCAATTACATGTTGTTCCTTTCTAGAAAGGACATGTCTCAGGTAGGTAAAATTATGAATGGTTTGGAAGAGGGATGCATGAACATTGTAAAATCCATTCCATCTACATTTCAGATTGTCAGGTGACTTTCATTCTATTGTCTGCTCATTGACAGAATCAGATTTTGCATGGATGCATTCTGACACATTTGCCCAGGTTAGCAGTGGCACGGAAACCTGTTGCACTCTCAAGTAATACTGAGACTACACAAGCATAGGTTTATGCTTGCACAACATCAATAGTGCTAGAACGCAAAAACACAGAAACATAGAAACAGAGCAAGTCAGAAGGGGTCTCCTGGGCCATCTAGTCTGACCCCCGGCTCCAGCCAGCTCCACTCACAACATGCCCACCATGTGCATGTCCAGCCTATCTTTGAACACCCTCACCAATGGGGCCTCAAAGCCAATGAATCCTTCCCACAGGTTTGTCTCATTTTAGTCAGAGAGACATTGAGTTTTGTGAATGAACAGGAGCTTGAAACCTAGGTCTTTCTGGGTCTGTGTTCAACACTATATTCACACGTCACAGCAAACATCCACCACAGCTTACCTTAAAGGTTTCCAATTATATTGTTTTTATATGATTATATGTATTTATTTATTGTTGTAAGCCACCCCAAGGCTTCGGCGAATGGGGCGGCATAGAAGTTTATTAAATAAATAAACAAACAAACTAATAAATAAATGTCATAATAAAATGTGATGCAGTGCTACAGATAGGCAAAACTGCAGGTAGCAGCTGCCTTGGCTCCCCTGTACATTCAGTACTGGTCCTATGAACCATATCTGCTAGCAACCGTATCTCTGTTCCAGCTGAGGTCATTCCTTTGGATAGCTTTATAAAACCTCTCAGCTGAAACTGCCAAAATACCAGATACTACCTTTCATGTCACTGTGAAAATATCACCTTTTTTAATGCAGAAGAATAAGAAAACTCTCTGCAGGATTTTTTTTTCTGCATATGGGTCACACAGCTTATCTAATTAAGTAAATTAATAAGAACGATTACATACAGTGGTTAAAATCATTCCTCTCTTATAATCATTCAATTCAGCAATATCAGCTCCAGATTCAACATTCAAAATAACTTAAATCACCCAACTAAAACTATAGGGTGACTTAAAAACCCTCATTTATTTTCAAAGTATGTACCTTGATAAACACTTAACTGCTAGCATTATAATCAAGCTGCTAATTTAACTGTGTTATTATCACCTAAAAATGTACTCTAGGTAGGGCTACCCTTGAAGGCAGTTCAGAAACTACAGCTCTTAAAGAACACACCAGTCAGATTTATTCAGCCTCAAGGTCCAACTATACAAAACTAGTTTTGGCCCACCTGCATTTGCTGCCTCTATGCTTCCAGTTCCAATTCAAGAGGCGGGTTTTAACCTATAAAGCCAGACAAGGCTTAGGACCACAGTTCCTTCGGATTATGGGATGGCATACAAATGGAATTAAATATATAAATAAAAATATAGATAATACCTGTTGGAGAGCCTCTCCCAGCCACAATCTACTTGGGCAATATGCTCCACCTCTGGGGTACGACTCCACATGCCAGCTTGGGAGGGCGGCAACAAGGGCACGGGTGTTCTCAGTGGTGCTCCCCTATATATGGACTAACCTCCTCACTGAAGTCTGGCTGGCACTAAATCAGTGATATTTTCAATTCTAGGTTAAGACAGGATCCTTTTCTGAGGCTTTTAAGGACTTGGCCAGCCAGGGGCTTCTGGTAGATCACAGACTCACTCTTTTTGTCATACTCTATACTATTTTTATCAACCATTGTTAGTTGTTTTTCACTGTTTAATTTTTTTTAATGTTATTTCCTGATTTTTCTGATATTTTTATTTTTTTAATCACTTGTTTTTATGGATTGTATACACCACCCAGAGAATTTCAGCTGTGGAGTGGTATAGAAATGAAATAAATAATATTAACTATATCAACAAGATAGATAAAAATATGCTACATATCCCGGATTGGCCCACTATCATTAGGTCTCAATCCTTTACCTGGGAGTAGGTCCAGTGAACATACTTTTCTTCTGAGTAGATTGTGTTACTCCAACACAAAATCCTCTGTGCCACTAACTTGGAAAGTAGTACCAGAGTTAAAATTAGAACCAGGTATAATTCTAAGCACAAATGAGTGGTTTACTAGTACAGATGCAAATCCCTTTACATACCAATTCTTGCAGAATTCTTTTTGAACATTACTAGTACTAAAAAAAGAAGCACAGGTATCTTACCATTCCTCAATTCATGTGTTCCCTATTTATTTATTTTAAACTTTTCTGTATGGCCCTTACTGAAGTCTTGGGACAGTTTAACAATACAAAATGTAAAATAAAACACAGCATCACACATAAAGAATTCACACTTCTCAGCTAAAACCCAGTGTGATTAAGTGGATGCAGCACTGAGCCAGTTTGAGAGAAACTCAGGTTCAAATCCCTCACAGCCAGGGTAGAAATGCACGATGTGGGAGCACCTGGCCACTGCTGCTGAAAGCAACAGAGTCACCTTTCCTCTGCTAAGACCTAATACACAAGACATGTACTACAGCATCACTTCCATTTCCCCATCCCTCCTCGACTTGATTGGAGGTGGCTTTTGCAGGGGTGGGGAAAATCTCACAGTGATAAAGTCACTTAATCTTTTCTTTTACCAGGACATACTGTCGAAAGTGGAGGAGAAAACGGAGAGGGAGGCTCTGGGTTTGTGGGAAGCCACATTATCTCCATATTGCTACGCCCTTAATAGACATATGGCCCACATGCCTCAAACACACAACACAACACACACACACAGAGGGAGAGAGGGAGAGGGAGGGAGCGAGCGAGCAAACAGTGGGTGACTGATTAATTGGCTGTGGCAATGGCTGAATCAGCATTACAGAGAGCTAAACAGGTCAGAATTAGCTTGTTTAAGGGTTAAATCTGCCCCTTTTAGTCCACTTATAGCTGCTATGGAGTGCTAAAAGAATTATATTTTACCTCCAAAGCAAGTTGTGTTTAAACTGCTCAGATCTTAATGGTGCTCATGTTGCCAGGCATTAAAAAAAGAACCTCCCCTCCCCCCCCCCGGCAAAGTTTGGGGCACTCCACAGAGTGCAGACCATGTGCACCAGGATGCAAATGGCCCCCAGGCTGCCCGCAGTTGTCCACTTTGTCTTAATGTGTGGTCTGGGCAAGTCACTCTTGCTCCCTTTGTGGATTATCCTTGTGAAGAAGCTGCACGTGATCAAAGGGTGGCAGGGATCCATTGCTAGACCCATCCCTGAAGCAAAGGTCCTCAGGGAAAAACAGGACTGGACACATGGGGGTTAAAGAACTTTTGCTACCAGGCAATACAGAAATGTAAGAAAATGAGTAACAAGGGTTAATTCATATGATTGGGAAACCCGTTTGCACAAGCATCTGGATCATGTGGATGACTTCTGCAATAACAGGAGACTCTCCCTTCACACCTTTGATCAACACACACAGGTCGGGGGAGGGCCAGGTGACGGCACCATGGAAGGCATGGGAGACCAGCACAGTCCAGCTACCATTGAATCGCAAGCAGCAATTTTGCAGAACTAACACATGGAAGGGATTTCTCTTAGCTGTTCCCCACCTTACAAGGCTGTTACTCGGTACAACCACCAGTTTGAGCCACTAGGTGCATAAGACAAAACAAATGTAATAGAAGAATCAAGATACATTTAAACATTTTGCTCTGTAAATTTAGATCCTCTCAGTTCTTACATATAATCATTTTTTATGGCAGGGTGTGGGAAAAGATGGACAAACTCAAAATTGCATACCTTCTTCATGTAAAGACTGGACATCTGTGACACCACTAAGTGACCAAAGAGAAGCCACAATATATATCCTTTGCCCCATTCCATCCAAAAACTCCATTCAAAATCCATTGGATCCTAGAAATAAATTGAATCCATCATGAAACTGCCTTTAAACTTATTGATAAAACTGAAAGTATACTACACATATAATATTTCCTATTTTTATATGAACTATTGCAAACTACCCAGAGATATTCAGCTATTGGGTGATATAGAAATGGAAATAATCATAATCATAGAAAGTCAGGAACAGAATAGCTATGATACACATATTTCATATAGAATACAAGTAACTATCAAAATTCAACCAGACTAAGAGAAGATCTAATTTCTCATATTCTAGCCTTGTGATCTGAACAGTCCCCTATTTTTTTAAATTAGTAAAAGCCCCACTGTCATTTAGCCTGTAAGCAGCTGTACCAATATAATGAATTTTGCCATTAGCACAGAATACAAGATGTCATTTCAACTAAATGCAAGATAACAATGTACTCATAAAGACAGTCCAATGTTCAGAATTCCAAGATGGAAAATTCCCATCAACTTCTATTTGAGTAAGTTAGTGGAATGTGTTCTTTGTTAATTTATTTAATAGATTTATATCCTGCTCTTTCCCAATGAACTCAAAGCAGCTTACATCATTCTCCTCCTCCTGTTCTCAATCTTATCCCCACAACAACCAATCTGTGAGGTAGGTTGGCCAAATTAGTTCCATGGCTAAGCAGGGACTAAAATTCAGATCGTCTGAGCCCTAGTCCCACACTTGTAACTAGTACATCACACTGGCTCTCTATTACAAATTTGTACACTACAAAATTACATAAATCTAAAAGCAAAGCAAGCATTTTACATTCAAATCTTTTTATCCAAATGTGGCCTGCCTACCACTTGGCCCATCAAAGGCCTCTGGAAGGTGCTTCACCATGTATCAACTATACATACCACAGTAGCTTCCAGGTCTTCTCCTCTAAATTCTCCATTTAATGCAGTTATGGTAATAGCAGCCATGAGCAGTAAGGACCACAGTTTAGTGGCAAGACTAAATTCTGTGTCAAATCACCCTTTCCCCCCTTTACACTAGCAAACACTAATGATATTATCTTGGCGTTGGTTTACACTAGCACAATATCATTAGTGCAAGTGTTGCGTCACCAAACTAAGCTACAAGACTAATCATAATTCTCTCACACACAAAATACTCACACACTCTTTGCATGATCAAAGTGCCCTACAACAGACTGAGTTATCTGAAGGTTGTTTTTCCCTCAAACAAGCCGTGCTACCTCAGTTCAAACAACACAACAAGCTATGGGTAATCAGGCTAATGGTGGTCAGCACGCATCACTGATTAATACAAGGCTCCGCGGCTTATTTAAGCCAGGAACAGCCTGTTAATTTGATCACACAAGCTGGCTCAGTGGTTGCTACTGAAGCAGTTTTTCAAAATCCTGTTAATTGTAGTCATACATTTTGGGAGCAATCCTATGGCGGATACATAGAGTTGCAGCTCCAGTCTCTGGACCATGCTCAGGGCCGGGACTCATGTCTAGCATGGTTTTTTTCTCATTGCAGAAGACCAGTGTTGGAATGGAAGGTCTGAGTGCGTTCCAGGCGATAGGGAGGAAAGATGACCTATCCTGGTGGTGCCTCTGCTTCTCTCCCTTGAGTGTCAGGGCAAAAGACTTAAACTGCTCAAATCCCTATCTAAGACTTTCAGGGCAGGAGCAGCATGGAGGCACTCCTTCCACCTTGTCTGAGTTCAGAGGGCTGTGCCAGCCATATTGGAATATGCTGCCATATATCACCCAGGATCTGGACTCCAGATGGATCCACAAAGAGCAGAAAAGCCCTCGGGTGCGAGCGGGTGGAGCAGGGACAAGCTTGCTAACTCTGCCCTTCTCCTTCACTGTTCTCAACACCCTTTATACATGGAGGATCACTGCCTGCACAGGAGAACCTCCCATATCCGTGGGGGCAGTCCTTCAAATTTTAGAACCCCAAAGCATTTTTCAGTTTGGCTGCTGATGGGTTTCTATCTATATTTATTTATTCTGTCCTTTTTTACTTTACATGGGTGCCCATTCGACTGGAAGTCATTGTTTTAAATTGTGAACCACCATCAAGTGTATTGGCAGAAAGGCAGCAGAGAAATGAAGCAAGTAAAGTAAGCGACTACCCTCTGTTTCCCTTGATAATGCTTCCATCAGAGTCTGGATGGCAGCATTCACTTTCAGAAGATGCTCCCAGGAAGCCTGCCAAGAACAAGGCATCCTTTGCACAATGTTGATCAAAAGGAATTTCCAAATTAGAACAGAAAGCAAATGGTTAGCACTGCCCTTGTGTATAGGCATTCATTCTGTGAGATGCATGGCACAGATTTTAAATATGTGCTGAAGGAATTTCCTCTTGCATTAGCTTTAAGGAAATTAAATTACCACAAAAATTAGTGCAGTTATGCAGTTTTCTAATTTCAATCACCTGTACTGCTGTGATAGGACAACCAAGAAGTGTCCAACTTCTAACAGCCCTCTAATATTTAGGATGGTTAAAATTTAGACAAATATCCTTCTTCTGGAAGGGTGTTCCAAAGCATGCTACCATCACATAAAGGACCCTCTCCTTAAAATACCTCCTCTTGCAACCTGCTGTTTCTTCTCAATGTAACCAAATAATAGCAGTGCTGAGTTTCACTATCACAGCTCATCCTATGGTCAGGAGTAGGGGCAAGCCAAATTAGATGGACTTTTTACTACAACACCTTGGCTAGATGCAGAAAAGCTGGGAAGGGTTCCAAGGAGGGCAACAAGGAAGATCCAGGGCCTGAAGACAAAGCCCTGCAAGGTAAGATTGAGTGATCTTCAGAAGAGAAGACTGACAGGAGATCTGATAGCACTCTACAAGTACCTGAAAGACAGTCACAGAGAGGAAGGACAAGATCTCTGCTTGATTATCCCAGAGTGTAGAACATGGAATAATGGGTCTAAGCTGCAACAAACCAGATTCAGGCTATATAAGGAAAAGTTCCCTCACTGTCGAAGCAGTACAACAATGGAATCTATTACCTAGGGGGGCTGTGGGCTCTCCAACACTAGAGGCATTCAAGATGCAACTGGACAGCCATCTCAGTGGGATGGTGTAAACCGCTGTCCTGCAACAGCAGGGGGTTGGACCCAGTGGCTTTCCTGAACCCTTCCAACTCTAGTATTCCAGGATTCTATGAATCTAGATACTTCTATACATAAACTCTAAAGGATACCTTCAAGTCATATAGCCCTGGAGGAACACCATCCATAGAAGATATATATTAAGGCTAGGTCTAACTCTAGACCCTGGGAAGTGTTGTCAGTACTGGCAACTTCCTTCAACACTTCTGTCAACAGACTCCAGATGTTTTCTCTAAGAAGGAATCTCAAAATGTGCTTCAAATTTCACCTAAGACAAAACCTAAGGAGGATAATGGAGAAAAACAGTATCAAGAGCCCACTTCTAAGCTTGTTTAGCCTGAAATAAGCTCTACAGAATTTGATGGCACTCCCAAGTAAGCCTGCTTAAGATTTTCTAATTCTCTCTACTTCTCTATTTCCTTTCAAACTTCTGTAGTTCTCCTTAGTTTTACGTTGTAAAAGTCCAATCAGGGTCACCAACCTGAATTGCTGTTACATATGTGCCATAAATTAGCAGCGTTTCAAATCCCCATCTGGACTTTTACAACGTCTTTACTCCCCTGCAAATGAGACAGTTATTTTTCTGATTCCTTTACAAACAAAATGAGAATTTCGGAGTGTGCCGTGCATAAGAATTTACCCTGCTATAAGGTGACTGAGGTGGGTGTGCCAGTGCACTTTCTTTTGCAAGTGTTCTGTGCTTTGCAGCATCTTCTGCTCGTTGCACTTCCTGAAAAACTCCCAGAAGACTTAAACAGGACTTTCCCCTTTGTGGCATCCCAGTTCTGCTGCCTACTGAGTGCCTTGAAGCTGAGTGACGTATTTTTTATTGTTAAAAAAAAGATGCAACCCTCACGCCGTCCTCAGCCCACTTAAATTTCTCCAAAATTCTCACTCCTTTACCCAGTTTTCAGCTGTGATTTCTTTTCACCCCTTTTCCCGAAAGAATAGTCAAAATATATAGATCAAAAACTGGCACAGCATTAGCAGGGATGCAGGTTACCTACTTAGAGCTACAATCAGAAAGTCCTGGCATGGATCACTTCTTCCATTGCAAGTGTTAGGCAGCCAGTACATCTTTTTGTAGCCAAAAATGCATGGCAGAAATAGACCCCTGGGAGCCCAGACCAATTATGCTTCCCTATTTGCATTCCTGAGTTCAGGTTTCTGTTAAAAAGTATAGGCTTCCCTTGATCAATCATCTACGGAAAGTATCACTTGAAATAACATAGATCTAAAGATACTTAATTTGTAAAAGCACAATTTAGAGCAATAGACTTTCTATGGAAAATTTCACCAGAAATAGAATAGATTTAAGGATCCCTATGGGGCACACACACACACACACACACACACACACACACACAGAGAGAGAGAGAGAGAGAGAGAGAGAGAGAGAGAGAGAGAGACAGAGAGAGAGACAGAGAGAGAGAGACAGAGAGAGAGACAGAGAGACAGAGAGACAAGCACAATTCATTGAGAATCCCATGGCACAATTCAAACTGCAGAAAGAAATAACAATGAATAAATACAATGAATAAATATGTACTGGAGTACAGGACAACATATTGGATAAGAAAGCTTAGCTGCAGCTTTTTAAATTAACTACTAAGTTTCCAGCATTTGTGAAATACAGAAAAGGGAGGAAAGGAGGAGGAATTTTAGCTTATTCAAAGAAATTAACAGCAATTGCTTGTGGCAATGATTCCTAAAGATGCATGTTCAAGCCAATCTGTACTTGTTTGTACCCTGATATCCACACAGCTACACAAATCAGATCGTCACATTTGAACACAGCCCTGGCTGTATTTCTCCACAAAATCCCACAGACCATATTAATTGGCAAGTCCAACTGTCAAGCCATTTGGCACAGGATGGACTGAGGCTTGATCATACTCTGTGCCAAAATGTCCAGTCTTCACCCAGAATACAATTTAATGCACCTATCATCAAAACCAAATATAGTTCACAGAACTGAAACTGAATCCCCATGCATATTCAGAGTAAAACTAGTTACACAACAATAATATCTGACCTTACCTTTCTAAACTCCCCAAACAGCTTACCAGTTTCCAGTTCAAATTCTCTGTCAAGTTCTTCTTCATATTCTGCCAGAAATAATATATTGTTAATAAGAAACAAGGATTGGGAGCTCACCAAATTCAGTTGTGTCTTTTAAATAGCCCAAAATTTTCCATCCGTTTCTTTAGAACAAGACATGCAAAAGCTGATACCCTAATTAGAATTGCTAGCAATGAAATCCTACTTATAGTAGGGCATCTGTTTAACCAAACATGCTTTTATGTAATCTGAAAATGAATTAAAATAGCACATATTTTTATTTTAGGTAATGCCTAGTTTTTAAAGGTGCATACTTTCTTAGTTTATTTATTTATTATGTTTGTTTATGTTTAGTTCACCTAAAGCAAAAAGTTCTCTGGACAGCTTACAGAATACAAATTTAAAACAGTAAACAATATACCAGAGACTGCAGCTAATGTATCAGGGAAGACTGAAAATAAAAAAGAACCTAGAAAAGATCAACAAGTGTAAGGACATTTCACTCGAGACCAAAACCATCCACACTATTGTATTCCCAATCACTATGTGTGAATGCGAAAACTGGACAGTGAAGATGACAGGGGAAAAAATGGTGCTTGAAACATAGTACTGGACAAGAACTTTGCCAATATCTTAGACTGACAGAAGCACAAACAAGTGGGTCCTAGATGAAGTCAAGCCAGAACATGTCATAGAACCAGAAACGATGAAACTGAAGGTGTGTGCTTCAGCCACACAATGAGCAAGCAAAATGCACTGAAGAAGGCAATAATGATAGGGAAAGTTGAAGGCAAAAGAAGAAAGAGTAAATATTAGATAGATCAAGTCCATACAGGAAGCCAATGCCTTGGGTTGACAAGAGTTGTGCAGCTATGTGAAGGACAGGACATTCTGGAGAGCATTCATTCATAAGGTCACCTTAAGTTGGAGATGATTTGATGGCATGTTACAACAAAAAATATAAAATATATTTCAGCACTCCATAGGCCAATTAATACTATAGAATCTAGAATCCAAAATATCTGAGAAAAAGGGAATGTCTTCATCTGGTATCAAAAAAAATATCAACATGGGAAGGGATAATTGCAAGATAACACCATGCCTTCTTAGAGTGGGCATTCCGTAAGTCAGGTACCAGAACAAAGGTGGTTCTTGTAGTCACCTGCCCAACATTGTTATGGGCTCCCAGAGGGAGGCCCTTAGATGAACTAATGTTGTAAAGAGGGCACCTCTGGGCAGATATGACTGTTCATGTCACTTTCTGATACTCCCTTTTCTACACAACTGTTTAGAAGATGCAGAAGTCCTAATGCTAACACAATTGCCATGCCTACCCTAAATGCTATGAATATTTAGCCTTTAAAAATTCACAACAGAGGGGGCGTGTTCACTACCTTCAGAAAGGAGCAAGCATCAGCTTAATCTAGTGTCAGAATGGAAGACACACTCTATTTTAAGGCAATTTCTCTTCTGCTGTATATTTTTTATTGAAAACAAATGACAAATGAAACATGAAGGGTCGTTGTTCTTTGTACATTTTGCTTTTTTGGATATTGTGTATTATTCCACTTTCATTTGTCAAACAAGTGCCTATACTGAGATTCATCTGAATTTGAGGATACAGTCCTATGCTTACATGCACCTTATGCCCAGAACAAGACACATTGGTAACTTCATGCAGGATAGTTGCAAACAGCCATTTTGGAACCAGCATAAATCTGCAGCTGCAGCCCCCTTTTCTCCCAGGCCCTGGCATGCCGTTATTTCCTCCTCCAAGGCCCAGCTGTGACCTCAGAGGGACAGTTAGTGCCTTTCTGTCTGTCTGTCTGTCTTTCTTTCAAACTTTTATATACCATCCACTACCATGTGGTCTCAGGGTGATCTTACAATAAAGCAAGTGGCACACAGAATCCATTCTATACAATAAACCCCACTTAAAATCACAATCTACATCTTAAAATGCTGGGAAAATAAAAAGGGTTCGGCCTGGCACTCTTTCTGCAAGTGAGTTGGTTGGGAGCTCAGCCTTCAGAGTTCCAGGGCCAAGATCACAGGATTTTGGAGCTGGGGCTCCAGATAATCCCATGGCCTCCCAGGCGATGTCAAGAGGACATAGGATGGTACCCCAAATGACTAATCAGTTCAAAGGCAGAGGAATTAACAATTGCTGGTTGACAGCCCGAACACACATGTACATTTATATTTTTCGTTCACAGTTACTAGACACTAAATACCAAAGATGACTGCAAGTGACAGAACTAAAATAAAATGCTTTGCTAAATTCTCATATATATAATCCAGAGGGTCTCAAATGCACTCTTGTCAACAATTTATGCCTAACAAAAGCCTGTCAAATTCTATTTCTGAGTAACGCTGAGGAGAGATTGCCTCAAAGGTTCAAATAGTTAACTGTGCTCAGCTGAGAGGGGAAGCTATTGGAGTGAGGAACTAAACCTTTGATTTATCACCTTGGTTTTCTGAGGGGATTCTTAATATCTACCTGGAAAAATTCATCTCTGAGGAGAATGAGTTTTTCCTCTTTCTTTCTGACACCCAAGATAAATCTCAGAAGAAAGTGTCACCTTCTCTGAGAATTACTCCTTTTTTTATCTGCTCACCTAGCAAACCCTCTTGATCCAGAACCTCTGTCTTTGCAGAAGGAAAATATGTACAAAGATAAGGGGGTTTATTTAATAAATAGTTGTCTGTTCCTTTTGGAGATTATGGTTTGAAAGATTTTCTCCCCAGACTTCATTAAAGTGTGTGTGTGGGGGGGGGGGGGGCGACACAACTCCAGTGGCATCCACACCACTCTTCACTACTTGCCCCCTTTAACAGAAATTTGAACAACAGCATAGCACCAGGTTCTCTTTGACTCTTGAATTTAGCCCATTCCAATAAATTAAGCTGCAGATGTCTTCAAGTATTTAGATCTTAGTTCAACACATTTGACTGTAATAACTACATTCCTTAATCAAGCCTTATTTTGTTTCCATTTTATGGCATTAACAATTCCAGGAAAAGGGCACTAAAATGTTCAGATGTATTGGTTTAATCAACTAAACATTATATGGTCTATTTTGGTCAAACTTCAAAGATTTTTAAAGACTGTTTTGCTATCTCCACCTTGTGGAAAAAATAAAACATAGCAATTTACTCCCGCAAGACAATTGGGTTGATTATGACTCCCAAGTCATGACTTCCAAGGCTTTAGAACAAATGAAGATAGCATATGATTTTTATATACGGTGTACAGTTACAATCACCTCAGGCCCACTTGATTTTAGCCATCAAATTTTAGCTGAAAAAGTACAGGAGCAGAAAACTGAATGTATGCATGAAAGGGTCTTGTGCATGAAATGTTCACATTACAGTGTTCTATTTTTGTGGTTAGGAAGGTTGCATGTGCAGAGAGAATCGCTGAGCAGCTAAGAGTATTAACCAGCCTGCTGACACAAAAAGTTTATGGAGCAGAAGCACCTAGGCCATACCCACACTGCAGCCTAGTTTTATTGCAAGTATGGGGGAAATGTTTTGTTAGTGGTTGATCCCTAAAATGGAAAGTCTTTTAAACAGTGGACCATCCTGACACTGGCCGACTATGTTTCCAACTCCAATTCAGTATGCTGGTTTTGACCTATGAAGATCTGCATGGGTCAGGACTGCAATACCTGATAAAACATCTCTCCTGGCATGAACCTGCCATAAATCACATTTGTCATCTAAGGTTCTTCTCTTAGTGTCTCCTCCAAGAGAGACTCAGACGGTGACAATGAGGAAGTGGGCCTTCTTGGTGGTGGCTCCTCCAATAATGGAACTACATCTGTGATGAGGCTTGCCTGGAGTCAGGTAAAGACTTCCTTCCCTCAGGGACTGGGCAACATGGGATGAGTTTTTAATCCGTTCTTAAATTTTCTTTTTGATTGTCTAAAACTGTTTTCAGACATACATGTGTTCATCTGTGCATTGTATGTGGGTGTGTCATGTGTGTACACATATGTATGAAGATTTTTATCATGCATTTTAATGGTTTTAATCCTTGTAAACCATCCAGCATCTGGCCATTGTGCATAATTTAAAAAAAAATAAAAGAAATGGTCACTCAGAATTAAAGCTGCAACAGAATGCTCAGAAAATAAGACTAGGTCTGCAAAAAGGTTTCTACTAACTTGAGTCTAGTGTGAGGGGGAAATACATAAAGCATGTCACTCCACAGAATCAAATGGGTGAGGATGCCATGCCAAATCCTTTACCAAATCAGGCCAACATCCTTCCTTTTGTTCTTAAGGGTACAATCCTATTCCTGTTTAAAAATAAAAAAACTCCTACAATTCGCATTTTTTCCCAGGCAGACCCTCTGGAATTTGCAGAATGTTTTTCTATTTGCACCCTAAGCAACACAGGCTGCCTCTAGCACAGAGTGCAGTGGATGCATTAATAACTACACTAATGCCTTCAAAGTACACATTCTACCGCTATGCGTATCATGAAAAAATTGTTGTGTGCATGACAGACACACAAGAAAGAAAAAGTACTTAATTGTTTTGGACTTAAGGTATAATCAGCAACAGTGCCTGAATACTAATTAAAACAGACAAAAACTAAATGACAACAGAACGCGCACAACCAATTCACGATGCACAAAACTAGTATAAAAAGGTTAAGACCTTTTTATTTAATCAATATTTTAACAAGTTTTAATATGGAATTTTATTACCATATTTTAATTGCAGCCAGAGTGGGTCATTCATTTATTTATGTTATACTTTTACGTATTGGTATTTTATTTGTGTAAGCCGTCCTGAAGCTCTCGCAAAGGACGGCATACAAATATCATAAATAAATAAATACATATTTCCCAGTGCATGCAATTTACAGTTTGAATTCACTAAGTTGCAATGGATGGGTGCAATGGATACTTATGTTGAAACAAGGCCTACATAAGTTCATGGAGATTGGACATCAGCGGATACTGAGAAAAATGGAAATGACAGAACATATCAGATGTGCCATTTCATGCTTTTGTAGAAGTAACTGGAACAGAAAACTTCAGCGAAAAAAGGATGAAATGAAGATTTCAAAAGCTCATGTACCTCTTACTTTTTCACTGTGCTTTCACCAAGATATGTGTGGTAAAACAGAATGAGAGATCAGGGATGAAAAATTGTGGCATCTAGATTAGAAAAGGAGGTTTACACAGGTCTATCTTGGCTTGCTTTTAATTTTGGCTGGTTGTTGCTGCTGCTGCTGTTTTAGCTACAACCCTCAGAAGATAAGTAATACTACTGCTACATGTTTTTGCCAAAATTTTAGGACTGCATTTTGATTTATTTTATTATTTTACCTTTAAATATTGTATTTACACATAAAAAGAAGCGCTCTAAATGATGGAATAAATTATTATGATGTATTACTTTTATAAACAAATAGATCTAAATAATCTTTTAATCTTTTGTAAAGCTCAACATAAGAAAAAATGAGTCCAAATGGATCATTAGACTAAAGGCTTTTCTATTCAACATAGCATTTCGCACAGATGTAAACCAGTCTAAAGAACTGTGTGAAGAAACAACCCTAGAAGAAACCATGGCTTCTAAATCTGAGTTGCTTCTCCTTCAACCCAGTGTTCACATGTAGAACATTGCAAGGACTGGGCTTTCCTGGGTTGTTTAGTGCATCAGAAGTTGGCAAGTGGTTGGCAGCCAGAACACGCACTAATTCCTTCTAAACAACCCATGGTTAACAAACTGGGTTAGTCTATCATGTGATATGGGTTGTATCAAACAAATGAGTGAGTGATTCAAACAAGGATCTGGGCAGTTTGAGATCCACCCTGAATAATTAGACAAGTACTGTAAATGTTGCATCTAAGGCACATCTCACGTAAAAGAGTTACAGGTTCCTCTGATTCAGTTTCAAAAGCTGCCTTACAGTGATCACGTGTAACATGTTTCAGCCTTCAGTTAGTTACTAGGATTGTGCAGCCAATGAATACCAATGGGGCACAGTGGTTAAAGTGCAAGGCTGGGATTTGGGAAACCCAGGTTCAAGTACCGCCATTTCCCCAGCCATGAAGGTGAATGGGCGATTTGGGCCAGTCACTGACTAATTTACCTTGCAGTGCTGTTGTTAGTATTAAATGGAGAGTTAGAGAGCCATGTAATCCACCTTGGACTCATTGTGGGGAAAATAATAAATGCATAATTAAATAAATAGTCAAGTTGATACTTTCAAGCCTGTTACACCAGCCCAAGTGGGTTTTTTCTGTGTCTCCAAACTATTTTGAGCGAACAAGCAGTATACAACATTCTCAGGCAGCTGCAATTTTTATACAGCTACAAGGTTAGGGACTGAGGGCCAGGTTGGCATCCTGAAGTCCCTGTATTGAGTTCCATCTTGTATGCATGCATTCACCAATCATCTGCCTAGCATCAATTACACAGATGAATCTTTGAGGGGAAGAGAGACAGCTTAGACCATTTTGCTAAAAGGAAATGCAGCTATTATTTCATTCCCCATTAAAGGAGCACGACAAAGCCTCAATAAAACAGTGTGGCTTTCAAGTGCCCCAATTAAAATAACACCCAATGATTACTCAACTAGGACTGTGATTCTGTGCACAGCTACTAAGACATAAATCCCATTAAGCTCAATGGGACCTTCTTCTGGGTAAAGATGATTACAGTAGCACCATAAAGCTTTCACTGACTAACCTACTCGTAGGCTCCAATCCAACAATCATTTCTGTGGGATTAAGCCCTACTGAATGCAACAGAATTTACTTGAGTAGTCATGTGCAGGATTGTGCTGGTAACCTGTTAAACATCGCAGCTCTCTTTTCTGCCTTTAGCAGTTCCAAATTTGGATCAAAGCAATGGTGCTGAGGCTGCTGTTTAATCTTTCTCCCAATCTAAATTGCCCTTGACAAAAGCTGTTATTAGCCCTACTAAGAAAATGTATCTTGCTGAGGAGGGTCTGCCAGTGCAAATTTTGGGAGTATACCAGGAATGCTGTGGGGACTGCAGTAGGCAGGGAAATCCACTTACAAAGAGACAACTGGATTTCACCTCTTGACTTTAAGGTCACTTCTCAGTGTCAAGCAAACGCATGGTAGAAAAAGGCAGCCTGCAAGTGGCCCCTTCCTAACCAACTCCTTCCATTGTCTAGCTGAGAAAGCTGGTGCTGAAATTCAGCAGAGCTGTAGGAGCAAAGCTCCCAGGGATTTTCCTTTAGAACAAAGGGCCTCCCCAAAACTCAATTTTGCTTTAAAAAAAGGCACATCTGCACACTTTAATTTGCCACTGCTGAAATTCAGTGGTGGATTTGGCAGTGCAGACCTAGGAGCAACCTGTGGGGGGTTCTGGAGAATGGCCTCTGGGAGTTGCTGGCCTGGATATCATCATGTACTTTCAGAGCATTCCCTTAAATAGGAAAAGCATATTCTACTGGATTATTTTTTAAAAAAAACACACATTTTCATTGACATTCCCTTGAAAAGTATTAATAAATTGACTTTCAGATTTGTTTAGTCTCCTCCTAAGAAAAGTAAATGTCAAGTTACTGCTTCTAGTGGTCTCTTATTAACTAAAGTACAAGCCCTGAATTACACCTTCATTATACGGAGACACACAGCTTGTGCCTTCTACATGCCTTTTCTGCAACTGCAGCTCTTGGTTTCTACAAAGAAAGGGTCTCCATAAGCTTCAAATAAAAAGCTTCTGTGGGATGCCCTGCTGGGGACTGTTAGAAAGTGCTCTATTAAGTCACTCTATTCAAGTCAACACCCCACAAACTGCAAAAGCAAAAATAATCGCTACTTAAAGAGAAAGCCTGCAATGGGGACTTACCTTGAGATGTTTGGAAGACTTCATAAAAAGAGTAGAAATGAAAGCCAAACGAAAGGAAAATGTAAAGATACAGCTCCCATCCTGGCAACATCACTAACTGCAATGACATTTTTGGGGCTTCCTGCAACCCAGGAGGACAACACTCCAGTAGGTAGCACCTGTAAACAGCAAGATAATGTGAACATTTAGCTAGGCCCACACTGAATCTCCAGTACAGGACAAGGTGGCAAATCTGAGCAAAATATTGTTTCTATCAGAGGTGTCCACCAAGCACACTGGAGATGGTATCATTATACAAGAATTTCCTACAGAACAGCCACACTATTCTTTTATGTAGCTAGATGGGGCATCGTGCATGCAAATAGGTGCTGCACCAGCAATTTCTTCCAGCAGAACCAAGCAGCTGGATAATGCTTTTGATTAAAAGAAAAATTTGCCCTAAGATAGCAGAGTGGTTTTATACATAAATAAAAATATGCCAAAATATAGTAAAGCATAAAGTATGGCAATGAGAGTAGCTCAAAGGTGTAAAAAACAGAACAGATTCAGCTCTGATGGACCTCACATTTTAAAGGGACTAGGCATATATGCAAGATTTAACCTGGTGCGAAAATGACATCAGCCTTTGTCCACCTTCAAGAAGGTCATTCCAAAGATGGGGTGCCTCCACAGAGAAGGTCATCTCCCTGGTTGCTACACAGCAAGCTTCCCCTGGCAAAGAAACCCGGAGAAGAGTCTCATCTGAAGATCATAAGTCAAAGGTAAGTTGGTACAGCCTATATATTAAATTGGCAAAAGGGGAAGGGGACGGCACAGGTTGAGGTGGCTAGATTGAGTCACTGGGGTGGTGGGTGTGGGCTTAGGTGGACTCCGAGGGAGAGTCTGGAGGAATGTTGTCCATGGGGTCATGATGGGGTCGGGCACAACTTTGTGACTAAACAAAGTATATATTAACTGGCATTGTGCCAATCCTCATTCAGATGAAGAATGGTTACTAGATACAGTTTCCCTTTGAAGTTCCCTTCCCAAACACCTGGTTGGTGCAACTGCAGATTATTTGCTGGGGTAAACTAATTAACTTCAAATTCAGAATGCTTCTAGTTTGGGACAGTCCACAACCTCCCTAGGTAATTGGTTCCACAATTAGTTCAACTGTGATCTATCCTGGAAAAAATTGTATCCTGAAAGGAAGGATATAAACAGCAATAAAGAAATGTTACTGTGATCTTCTGTATGCCTCAGACAGACTGAAAATTGTATACTGAGACAAAATAGATTAATAATAATATTTTGGCACTTATGGAGTGCTTGAAAATTCCTTACCTCAGCAATCATTACCTCAATCCTGTTAAGTAGGTCAGCATAACTATCCCATATTGCAGATGGAGGGTGGTAAGATTGAGATCTGCCTAAGAGCACCAAGGCAGATGTTACCCTCCTGATTGTACATTTCAGTCCCTTTGGGAACACAAATTTCTACTATATGCCTTAACTCAAATTTAAATATTGCTTCAGCAGCAACATAATTTTTCCAGGGTTCCCACTTAACCAGAATGTGAATGCACTTGTTTCAAACCCCAGGTTCGTTAACATCATTAACGTCATTGCCTGTTTGTAACATGTGTACTTCAATGTGCTTTGCCTACGTGTGCTTTGAACGTGCTTCTACTTGTGCAGAACATGTGCTTTGCCTACAAAGGTCTTACGGTCCCTCTCTGGTGTTTCCTGGCAGACAGCAGGACCCACCTGCCCACAGCAATCCCACAGTCCTGTAGTGTGGAAGCCCTTCAAATGCAGTCCTCACATCTCAGTAAAGCTTTCAGAAGGAGCATCTTCATTCCTCCAGAGGGCCTCAAAGTGGCCGCATATGAGCCTTGAGGTACTCTGGGGAAATCGAGATACCAAGCACAATGGCAGCTTCCCTTTCCAGTGTGCCCAAACTCTTCTAAAAATTAAAAAAGGAATACAGAAAAGCAGAAAGAGAAACAGTAAGAGATATGGGAAGGGAAAGAAAAAACAAAAGGGGGCGGAGGGTCAAACCATGCATTATTTTAAATCCCTATCTAGCAGTGACATCTTTTCTTTTCATAATTTAGGAGAGCCCCAGATTGGAACCTTAGCATGGGGATTTAAGATCTGGACTGGTTCCCTACACTTACTCTAGAGTACAATTGAAAAGGAGATATAGCCACTGAATACAGATTCAAAGTACTATCTATTTTGGTCCAGAGAGTATTGGAAGGCAGGGGTGCATGGGAGAGGGGGAGAGCACATAGGCAGGGAGGGGGGCGCAGGAAGTTTAAGTGCTTGAAATGGTGAGACTTAAAGGCCTCTACCACCAGTAGGCCTTAGAAAGTCTCCCATCTGCAAATTGGGAGAGCCAGTGAAGGGAAACAACATGGATCTATTCCATATGCTGCTTCCCAGGTTCTCACCTGGACTTTGGGCCAGATGAACCATTCTCCTGATCAGGCATAGCATGAACAACTGGGATTAAAAGAGAGTGTGTGCAGGGAGAAGATGTTTCATTTAGCATCAACAGATCATGACTTTAGTCACTAATTGCTGAGGAATATGACTAGAACGGCACTACTGCACCCATATCTTACACCCAGAGGTTACTGGATGGCCATATGTGAACCTAATACTGAACTAGATGGATCCTTGGTCCAATACAAAAAGGCTTTTGTCTTCTAAACTGTAAGCATGAGGGCAGGAGCTGATGCCCTCAAACACTGCTGATGTATGTAAGCCAGTCTGAAAGTCTTTGGGGATAAAGAACAAGTTAAAATTCCTTAAGGGTATAATTCTGTTCATGTTTAAATGGATAGTCCTGCAACTCTCAGCATTTGACCGCACAGCAGGCTAGAGAATGATGAGAGCTATAGGACCTTTTTTCCATCTAAACATGCACAGGACTAAACCCTAAACAATACATGCACCACATTTGTTGTGTGTTTATTGTATGTGCAGAGATACAAAAATAACATTTTAAATATCTGCTAAGTTACCTCTTTCAGAAGCATTTCCACTGGAAGAGGGATTTTCACTCTTGTTCCAGGAAGCCACCTGAAATATTCATAGAACATTTTGTTCTTAGATACACACAAAGAAACATCTGTATTAATTCTGATCAATTCTGCATTATTCTATTGTTTGTGTTCTTAATTTGCAAGGAGGAGGAGGAGGAGGACACTGAATTCTATTCATGTCTGCTCAGAAGTATGTTATCACTGAGTTCAATGGAGCTTGCGCCTAGATAATTGCACATTAGCTTTCCCCATCCTGGTGTCCTCCAGATGTGTTCGGTTAACTCACATCAGGCCTAGTTAGACTAGTAATTGGTCATGATGCTGGGGCTCTCCTAAATTAAAAAAAACTCCATCTGGGAAATTTCTTTTACAAAAGGGAGGCTTCTTTCAGTGCAATAAAGGTGCATAAGGGCAGCGCAACTAATCCCCTAATCTCCCCACATTTTAGTTTAAATATTAATTCTGTAATGCTTTCTTTAAAGATAAAGAATAAAATATTGCAATCTGGTAATTTATTTATTTATTTATTTATTTATTTAAAACATTTCTATGCCGCCCCATTCGCCGAAGTCTCAGGGCGGCTCACAACATAAAATTAAAATATAATACATCCAAATATACAACAAATTAACAATATAAAATAAGTCGCCCTGGCCAGATAAAATAAGCAAATAATATTAACAATTAAAATGACGTTTAAATAAAAAGGTCTTCACCTGGCGCTGAAAAACAAATAACGACAGCGCCAGGCAGACCTCTCTGGGGAGCGCATTCCATAGATTGGGCACCACCACAGAGAAAGCCCTCCTCTGAGTACCTACCCTCCTAATTTCTTTCACGGAGGGTTCCCGGAGAAGGGCTTCTCCCGCAGATATAACCTAAGAAGTGCTCAGAGTCCAGTTCACACATGCACATACGCTACCTGATTTCTCTGCCCTTAAAAACTGGCAGTTTAATGTGTGACTCGCATGTCATTCAAGTTCTGTCTGTCTGTGAATCACACATACAAGCCTTCATATGATGTCGCACTTGATGATACATGCACAGATTTATATCAGGAAATATGGCAAACAGAATGGGCCTTACTTTCCAATAATGATATAAGGAGCTAGTGATCAATTTATTTAGCTGTTGTTACATGCCATCAAGTCATCTCTGTGGCTAAGAGACAAGTTTGGCCTTACCATAAAGAGGGATGATTTACTTGATATCTCACTTCTTTCCCTCAAGGGAGTCCAACCCAGTGTCCCTTGCAGGCAGTGAGCATTTCCCGGCTTGCTTAGTTTCAACAATTTACATCATGTGTCCTCAGGCCAAGCCCTTGGACCCAGGATAACAATGGCGACCAGCTGTGACCAGCACCATTTATTATTAAAGCTCCATGCCCCATTGGCTTTCTAATGGCTCTTGTGTTAGAAGACAGGGTGCGAATAGCACTATGTCTCCGCACTGCTGCCCCCATGACATTTCTGAAAAATGATACAGTAAGAAGACTAAATGGCTGTAGAAAAGGATTTTCTGTAACCGGTCCAGCATTTCTCAGGTTTCCTGCAGTATCAGTTCACCTTCCAAAAATATCTCCCGAAATGTCTCCATTCAGCCATATTGCCAATTTTCTGAGACAGGAGTCACACAGGGTACTTACCATAACAAACCATCACTTTCCAAATGAGGATCTTGCCACCCAAATCCCAAAAAAGTTTACCAACTCTTTGAAAGGGTATGGAACCTCAAGAAACTCTGAGCAATCCAAGGGACATGCTTGTTGGAGAAGAGGCATATACCCCCTAACAAACAAAGGTGGTTCCCCTCGCACAAAAGTTCTTCCTAAGAGAAAATTGTGCAGAGTGTTTTAATTTTTTTCTGTGAAGGAGAAAACATACAAAAACTTGTTTTTTACAAAGTGAACAGGACACAATTTCTATGAGCAAAGCAGCATGTTTCTCCCCCAGAGGGTACAAGAGCTTGTTCTATTTTTAAAAACTGTATCTTTTAAGAATAGTTACAATACAAGTATAACAAAACTGCACACTTCACCCACTTATGCATCATTTTCCAACAATTATCCAAAAGGAGTAGGAAGTTCTACTTCAATCTTTCCCTACTCCAGAGTTGTAATCCAGCACATGTCTGGAGTCTGCCACACCAGACGGCAAACACCAGCAATGCTGCTGGGATCCCACAGTCAACCTGTGCTGCTGTTTGTAAACTGGAGAGCATTAGCACACACTTGGGAGCCAAACTAATTCTCCCAAGGGTCAGAGGGCAATTCATTCCAATTTTGTACACCAGACTTGTGTTGCAATCCCAAGCATGCATCATATGGAACAAATGTGTATGCCCAAAGGTGCAACCCTACACATTATTTAGAGAGAAAGAAGCCATACACCCCGCTCCCATTTGATCAAGGTGTAGGACCTTTTCCCACCATGGCTGGATGGGGGATTATGGGAATTATAGGATCTAATAATATACAGGGTTGTATCCCTAATGAAACAGGAAGTCAAGTCTTGAAATATTACCTTTATTACAATGTATTTTATTTCTATATCGCCCAGTAGCTGAAGCTCAAGGGGCAGTTTACAACAGCTGACCAGCAATAATTTAGGACTTATTGTCAGATATAATTCAAAACCACCTGATTTTTAATTCATGTAAACATTAGTTTTCAGCAAGCATGAGCTGATGGAGAGGTATGTCAGCAACCTGATGGATTTCCCAACCCAGCTACCATCCTTGTGGGACCCTGAAAACAATGTTTGGCAAGTGGAAAAGAAACTCCTTAGCAAAGCCCCTACCCTGCATCAGCATGCATCACTGGAGCTCATCCAATTGGAAGAACCAGAGTCTGCCATGAAAACAGACAGGGGTGAACAAGACTGGCGTTTTTTCCAGAAAACCGATTGTCCTGATGAAATTAATTCCCCCCCCCCCGAAAGTGCAAAGTTCACCCTAAGGGAGTATATTTAAGATTCACTGGCATACGTTTAAAGTTTTTCCTCTACATGTAACTAGTGAACATGTACCTAGTGAACCACTTTATGTACCTGGCTCTTGTCTACAGAAACTCAAGCCGTAATTTGGCCACAATATTCTATGGATGCTTGCCCGAGAGTAATTCTCACTGAATTCAGTGGGGCTTACATATGAGTAGACTGCTGGCTGAAACCCTATTCTGAGTAGCCATGTGCTCAATTACTGCCTTCTTGAGAAATTCTTATTACTGTGTCCAGCGCGGAGCTTAGGAACTGTTAACACGTAGCAAGGCAAACTTTTTATGAGCCACAGAATACTTTTTTCAGGGGAAGTCACAGCGCCGCGAATTTCTGCCGGAGGAAGGCGGGCGGCCGGGCGAGCGCCCACGAAAGAGACCGAATACAGCCCCTGTGTCCCCTCCAGTTCGTCCATTGATCTACGGCCACCTCGCCCAGAACAGCGCCCTACAGATGCATGGACTGCAACTCCCACCATCCACGACGCTACCAGGGGTCTCTGGGAGTTGTAGTCCAACACATATCTGGAGGACCCCGCATGCGAAGAATCTGGGCTTGTTCAACTCTCCATCCGCAGCCTTCGTTCCCAGCAGCGCGTACCCGCCCAGCCCCACGGAACAAGGGAAAGACGCAGACCTGCACCAGACAGGGTCGCTCCCAGCTCTTCGCGCCGGACGATGCCGCCTGCTCCGTTTCCGGCTCCGGCCCAGTCCGTGGTCGCTCCGCCTCTTCTCTGGAGCAACCGCGGTGGACTGGAGAGGAAGGCTTGGGTGCGTGGGTTGGTGAGTCGCGCTTGGCTGCCGCGCGTGGGGCCGGACCGCCTTCTCAAGTGAGTTTCCTCGAGTGTTAAGGAGGGGTTGTTCACTGGAGGTCGTCTGGACGGATGCTCAAGGTTCGAATGTTTAGCGGCAAACGAAGAAGGCAAGCTAATCAAGGCTGGCGCAAGACGTTTTGGCAGTAAATGCACGCCTCAAAGCAATGTTAAAGTTTGCCCCAGCCCCTTCAGATCTTAACATTGTTTCAACTTGAGGTGTGTTGTTGCAAAATCTACACTTTGCGTATGCACGGAGGCAGCTGCTCTTCTTAAAACTGTCTTCGCTCCAAACTGGCTTTGAAACCCAGCTGAAGTGTGCAAAGGAATGCCAAAGAGACCCTGCGGTTTCTCTTCAGGATTGTACTAAAGTGGCCACCAGCTAGACCATAATCCTTTCACAGTAACCAATTAAGCAACATGGCTCTTGTTGAATATGTCTTCTGTCTAATGCTCAGTGGTTGGAGATCCCACATATCTATTTTGACTGATACCTACCAAGCATCCTCTCCTCCATGAATTTGCTTAATTCCCCTTGGAAGCTGCCAGAGCCAATCAGCGTCACATATAATGATGGAAAATTACAATAAATTAAAACTGTTAAATGGAAAGAAGGGCTTGCTCTACATACCAAATGTTCATCAGATTCTCCAGGTAAATCCAAAGTTTGAGGATACTCTCCCAAAACAACAAACAAACACTCCAAAGCCACACATAATCAAAGTGTATAAATCATTACAGAAATGTCCAGGGAGGATTCTAACCTGATCCCTGGAATTTACTGGAAATTAAGAAAGCAATCTTATCCAAACTTACCTGGAATCTCCCATACTTTTTTCACACATACATAAACAAATGAGACATTGTAAAAGCCAGATGTTTTTCAAACAGCTCCTTTATTTAAAACAAAAATAAACCTCTCTAAGCAATGGTATGTTTTAGAAACTCTTCAGAACAGTATTTTTGATTGATACTCTTGCAATATTATACTCTTTTATATTTTATATTTTTTATTTATTTTATATTAATTTTAATTTTATATTGTTATTTTTGTATTTTATTGTATTTTATTGTGTTGTAAGCTGCCCCTGAGGCTTCGGCAAGGGGCGGCATAGAAATGTTTTAATAAAATAAATAAAATAAAATAATATTATATAATTATTAACTCCATAATGCACCAAACTCTCAGCTGGAACAGAGTGGAATGGCCCAGAACATAAACTTTTGATTGGGCCAAATTAGCTAAATTCAG